AGCCAACAGCATTGTAACTCCTACAGGAGTTATTGCAGGTCATGCATTTCTTTAACTCCACCTGTGTTCTCAACTTTGAAAGCTACTGAGCATATAAAACCCATCAATATGAAGAGTTCAATAAACTCGCTTCCACCTGCGTTTATCGCTCAGCGCAGCAAGAATGACCTTCTTACGTTGTTCTAAGATTTCCTTGCAATGCTGTTCCAAGATTTCCTTGCTGTACTGCTTCAGGATCTCCTTGCTATGCTGTTGCAACGTTTCATAGCTACGCTGTTCTAGAATTTCCTTGCGCATCCAGAGTGATCTGAGTGACTGCGTGGCCTGGGTTACTGATTGCATTGTGCATCTGAGTGCTCTAAGGAACTCCGGAGCTCTGGGTATCTTCATGCTCTGGGAACTAGCTACGTTCACTGGGTACCTGCGTGCCCTGGGTATGTTTGTACCCTGAGCGCCTGTGTGTGGGTCATGGGTGCCCACGTGCCCGGCGAGCCTGGAATGCCCAGGGTACTTTACTGAACATTCATATCTGCCTTTCACATGCCATGCTAGGGTCTTAATGTCTGTCTCCTTGCTGTCGTTCCTTGTCGTGCAAGGTACGCCTTCTCCCTTTGACAGAGAGGTCGTGCACCATGGCAGGACAGCTGGACATACACACTACTCCTCTGTCGTTGTGAGAAAAGTAAACATTCCTGGGTAAGTAACAAAAATAAACAAAGTAAACATATACATCTGCCATAATAGGAAGATCAGTAAGAGTGTGAACACTATTACTAGCGGGTCAGGGTGTAGGCGGGTTTATCGTAAAATCCTGGTTTGGCACCGGTTCTGGCCTCCAGAACCTCCCTGTGAATTCAGTAGAGTTCCGGGTTGACAGGAAGATGTATGGGAATCACCGGAACGCTGGTTCAAGTCAATTCATTGCCACAAAATGTTTTTCTGGTATGATATATCATGCCATTGTAATTTCTGTACCATCAGTATACCACTTTTTGTTCTATTAATTTTAGAGAGTCCGCAAAAAGTAAAGTTAAAACCAAACTTGAATATTCCTAGGCCTAGTGTATTATATAAATGTATTATAATAGACCTAAAACAGCGTGTATTAGGCGTGGTATTGCGAGGGGAGGTTAGGTTGAGTCTTATATTTATATTTCCATAAAAAAGTTTCCAGTTTGCCCAAATTCAATAATACGAAAGTCCAGATATCACTGTAACCTAGTCCAATAATACAAAAAATATCACTGCATATCGGTACTTTCCCTGAAATAGTTACTATAACAACTCTGATTCTAGGAGGACGGGCATCTCTACCATTCTTAATACATTTCTCTAAAGAAACAAAAGGAATTACTACCGAACTACGGCATGAAAACAAGACAAATCTTCCCACGGGAGTTGGCTTGGGGGGGCCTTGGCCTCTCTCTCCCCCCCCCCCAACCTAATGCCTAGGGTAAATTATTTGGCAGAGCAACAGAGATCACAGCCACCACCACCACCACTACCACCAGCACCAGCACCACCACCAGCACCACCAGCACCACCAGCACCACCACCACCACCAGCACCACCACCAGCAACACCACCACCATTACCACTACCACCATCGTCATCACCACTATCCCTCTCTCAGCTGGCCAGGCCTCACCTGTCCCACTACCACCACCCTCACCTGTACCTGTGACACTGTACCTGGCACACCTGTGACACTGTACCTGGCCCACCTGTGACACTGTACCTGGCCCCACCTGTGACACTGTACCTGGCACACCTATGACACTGTACCTGGCCCACCTGTGACACTGTACCTGGCCCACCTGTGACACTGTACCTGGCCCCACCTGTGACACTGTACCTGGCCCACCTTTGATGTTCCTTTCTATAGGGTAAAACCCCCGCAGGGAAAAAAATTCACATGGAAAACATTTCACGTACTTTCCCCAGCTTGATCATAAGCCCGTGTAGTCGTAGCACAGCTCTCTGGCTATCTACTGACGGCAGGAGGCTCAGCTGCCCATACCATCATGGACTCGTGGCATTACCTGCTGTCAAATGCAAAATTCTGGGTTAGTTATTATCATACACCAACATACAGGGAAAACACAAACCCACACACACACATACACAAAATACATACTGGTGAATACAGGTGAATACACAGCTGAGAGGATAGGGCTCGGGGGGGAGCATGGTTATAAGGGCAGTTTCTTTCATCTGATGCATCTTTTCACCTAGTAGTAAATATGTACCTGTTGGATAGACAGTTGCTACGGGTTGCATCCTGGAGATGTGTGTTGGAGTGATGAGGGGGTCACCATGGTCACTTCTGAGGTCCCCTGGGCACTTCTGTGGGTGGTTGCAACCATCAACCATCTCTATCGTCTCCTCCCGGCTCAGCAGAGAAGGAACAACACAGCACCAAGTGACGCAAGAAGATGCTTCTTGCGTCACAATTCAGCAGCGAGAGCAGAAGCAGTCGTGAGTCAAGGATAACCTGCTTGCGTGCAGCATCACAGCATCATTCACTCACGGATAACCTGCTCACGTGCAGCATCACAACACAGCAGCAGTGACTCAGGGATAACCTGCTCACGTGCAGCATGACAACACAGCATCAGTGACTCTGAGATAACCTGCTCACGTTCAGCATCACAACATCAGTGACTCAGGGATAACCTGCTCACGTGCAGCATGACAACACAGCATCATTGACTCAGGGATAACCTGCTCACGTTCAGCATCACAACATCAGTGACTCAGGGATAACCTGCTTGCGTGCAGCATGACAACACAGCATCATTGACTCAGGGATAACCTGCTCACGTGCAGCATGACAACACAGCATCATTGACTCAGGGATAACCTGCTCACGTTCAGCATCACAACATCAGTGACTCAGGGATAACCTGCTTGCGTGCAGCATGACAACACAGCATCAGTGACTCAGGGATAACCTGCTCACGTGCAGCATCACAACACAGCATCAGTGACTCAGGGTGATGCTGCCTGCGTCGTAGAGAACATTCTTGGCCGGACGTCAGAAATGAAATCTTTCGAAATGTTTTATTTTTTTGCGCACGTGTTGAATTTTATCCTGTGGCCTTACGTTCTCTCGTATCTGTAACGCTTCATCGCTGGACTTTATCCTGTGGCCTTACGTTCTCTCGTATCTGTAACGCTTCATCGCTGGTAATATGACTATGCTAGACACTCGATAGCAATGTTCCAGATATCAGGCAGTACCAGACACGCGATAACAAGTAACATAATTTGCTCCTAAACACCAATGTTTACATTTGATTCGTGAAAGCAGAATGCATTAACTAACGTGACGATGTATACCATTTAATTTTTGTTCAATAAACCTTATAAAATTTTATTGTAAATACAATTTTATTGTATTTTAGCATTATTATTGATTGCTATTATTATTATACGTAAGAGACGTTACTTCACTCGTCAATTAGTGGATTAGGGTACAGTGTAATTCATAAAAATGCGTGTATTACAGATTATCACACTAGCATTACACACGTTTCAGTGTGACGCCAATCCCCTTGGCCAAGCAAAGTGTTTGATCCCACCTGAGAGTGAGTGTGGTGCTGGGAGTGTCTTGGCACAGTGGGGTGATGGCTCATTGGATCAGGAGCCGAGGGGGGACCACGCCCCGGAGAGGTCCTCTCTTGTGACCAATTGACTGACGTTGTCAGCCACCAGGTGTGCATTATGAGCACACCTGTGGCAGGTGGGAGGCAGGTGGGAGGCAGGTGGGGCGGTACTGCTGTAGCAAACACAGAGGGGGAGGCAGGGAGGCAGGTAGTATCTCCACTCCACACCATTTGAGAAGCTCAACAATTTTGAGCTAGCGAGCGAATCAATAACGTATTGACCGACGCCTCCATTTGACAGATTTACTCTAAAAAGTCTATTGATGATGTAATTTGACATCCAGACTTGACGTTTGGATGTACGAATTATTCAGTGATTTACGTTAATTTTCAAGAGTAGATCTTTTACAAGTGCGTGACACAGACACCTCTGCCGTCCCTAGTTGCAGTGTACCGTCTGCTGACGACCTTAATGGTCCTTATCACCTCTAGCTATCCCTTGCTGTATTCTTCTGTCCCTTGAAATCTCTAACTGTCCCTAGCTGTCCATGCCAGTCACCAACCTTTCCGGTGGCTTCCCCTGGTCCCCTGGTCCCCTGGGCCCCTGGTCCCCTGGGCCTGTTCTTCTCGCCCATACTTCATGTGATTCCTCCGGAACTACGACGGTCATGTTATTATCGAAGAACACGATCGCAATGATTTACAGATTTCAATTGAAATCTTCACATGGAGGAGCACTGATCCGGAGTGTTTTGAGGTGAGAAGTTCCTATGCATCTCTTATGATAAAGATCCTTTTGAGGATAAGAGTTATGTTGCATAGACTCAATAGCTTTCTTCCTTGGATATGTTAAAGTACATTCTTATATTTGAAGATGCTTCAGGAACGCCCTCAAATGCAAGTGTTAATTACATCTTCATATTTACATAACATCAAACAAGTTATCAATACTTTATTAATAGTTTGGACATTCGTTGTATTATTTAATAATGTTCAAAGTTTATAAGGGACGAATATTAAGGATTAAGATAACTAAAATCTTGGTTATCGCTTCAGGTGGAGATTTAAATATTTCAATGCCACATTTTTCTTCGGGTTAAACAAGCTGATATTATTTACAATATTACAGTATTCATGTATGTTATTAATTTGTAAAAATATTCATTTTTAAAATATTTTATCCTGGATCTGCATACTCCAGGGTTGGTTTGACATATGTCAGATCAGTCTGAACGTACGGACGGACGTACAGTCCTACAGTACGTACGTACCAACCCTGCCCTACACCACCATGTACCAACCCTGCCCTACACCGCCACGTACTGACCCTGCCCTACCACGTACCAACCCTGCCCTACACCACCACGTACTGACCGTGTCTCTCTCCTACAGCAGCGCGGCCCGGGAAAGTGAGAATGCCCAAAGTGAACGACCCGCTGTGCCCGCTCGGTTTCCACCCGCAGACCCGTTGGCCCAACAGATGCAAGCGATGCTTCAGGTAAGTGACTGCAGAGCTGCTCTGCACGCTATGCAACCGCGTTTCTGTAGATAGAGTTACCTGTGTCAGGCATCTGTATAGGAGTACTGTGTACCTAGGCATCTGTATAGGAGTACTGTGTACCTAGGCATCTGTATAGGAGTACTGTGTACCTAGACATCTGTATAGGAGTACTGTGTACCTAGGCATCTGTATAGGAGTACTGTGTACCTAGGCATCTGTATAGGAGTACTGTGTACCTAGGCATCTGTGTAGGAGTACTGTGTACCTAGACATCCGTATAAGAGTACTGTGTACCTAGGCATCTGTATAGGAGTACTGTGTACCTAGGCATCTGTATAGGAGTACTGTGTACCTAGGCATCTGTGTAGGAGTACTGTGTACCTAGACATCCGTATAAGAGTACTGTGTACCTAGGCATCTGTATAGGAGTACTGTGTACCTAGGCATCTGTATAGGAGTACTGTGTACCTAGGCATCTGTATAGGAGTACTGTGTACCTAGACATCTGTATAGGAGTACTGTGTACCTAGGCATCTGTATAGGAGTACTGTGTACCTAGGCATCTGTATAGGAGTACTGTGTACCTAGGCATCTGTGTAGGAGTACTGTGTACCTAGACATCCGTATAAGAGTACTGTGTACCTAGGCATCTGTATAGGAGTACTGTGTACCTAGGCATCTGTATAGGAGTACTGTGTACCTAGGCATCTGTATAGGAGTACTGTGTACCTAGGCATCTGTATAGGAGTACTGTGTACCTAGACATCTGTATAAGAGTACTGTGTACCTAGGCATCTGTATAGGAGTACTGTGTATCTAGGCATCTGTATTGAGAACCCAGACAGGTGTATATGTACAGTCTCCTGCTGCACTCTCCATCAGGTCTTGCTAGTAAACTCCTCTACACACCTGCGCACCTGCGCGTCTAAGATATCATAGCCGCCAACAGCGCCCCGATGCCAATAACATTTTACTAAATATTTGCTTGTATTTAGGACGTCTGCGGCACGCTAAGCATTTTGTTATTCTCGCTTTAAGAGAGAAACTGTTCTCGGGTTTGCAAGTTTTGTGCAGCGGTTGCAACACAGAGGCTCTGGCCTCCTGCAGGGGTCAGATTCACGAAGCAGTTACCGAAACACTTACGAGCCTGTACATCTTTTCTCAATCTTTGGCGGCTTTGTTTCCAATTATTCAGCAGTTAATGAGCTGCGAAGCACCAGGAGGCTGTTTATAACAATAACAACAGTTGATTGGCAAGTTTTCATGCTTGTAAACTGTTTAATAAATGTAACCAAAGCCGTTATAAAGATTGAGGAAAGATGTACACGTTCGTAAATGCTTGCGTAACTGCTTCGTGAATCTGGCCCCAGGCAACTGCTCTTTGACCTCTGTTTTTGTTGCATTTGTTCCCGTTGTGGCTATAACCTGTTTCTTCTGTTAATGTTGCCGTTGTTATTTAGTCATAACTTGTTCCTCCTGTTCCGTGTCGCGCACCTGTGAGTGAAAGGTTATATACCTTTTGTACACATGACATTTTGTCAAAATTTGTTTGATAAACTTAAAATGTTGCTATTCTAACCTAACCTAACCTTCGTGGCAGCTTAACCAGCCTAATCTCATGCCACCAAACGCAACTTAACCTAACCTAACCTAACCTAACCTAAGCTAACCTAATTTCATGGAACACTACTTAGCCAAATGTCATGCAGCATGACAGAACCTAACCGGACAGAACTTAATCTAAGCTAACTTAACTTCGTGTAACCTTATCCAGCCTAAGTGTTGTGAAACATACTCGAATGGTAACCTAACCTAACCTAACCATAGTTTAGTGTTACCAATTAGAACACAATGCGAATCACTTGTGTACGATTTAACCTTACCACATAGTGGATGTCCTAGAGGTAGACTAGGATCAGTGTGTGTGTGAGAGGTAGACTAGGATCAGTGACGATCAATCAGAGGTAGACTAGGATCAGTGACGATCAATCAGAGTCAGACTAGGATCAATGCGGGTCAACTTGATACCGGCGTCGCTCCACAGGTGTCGCCAGGTGTAACTGACCCCAAAAAAAAGTGTCTGAGAAAATGGCCGCTGTTCTCCATAGCAGCTGGCTGGAAAAGGGACACAACAGGCCTCTTTAGACCACTGAACACCACACCAGTGTACAAAGGGGTCACAGGTACATGTAAAAACACAGTAAATTAGAACTAAAACTCATTTTCATTCCTCGTGCTTTTAACACCTGACGTAAAAGGCTCACATAATTATATTCAATGACAGTTTTTTTTTGTATACAAGTACTTCACGTTATTATCTTGCTGCCCGTTATCATCTAGCTGCCCGTTATTAGTGTCACCCACACGTTATTGCTATCAATGTTTGACGGCTTTGGTTACATTTATTAAACAGTTTATAAGCACGAAAACTTGCCAATCAACTGTTGTTATTGTTATAAACAGCCTCCTGGTGCTTCGGAGCTCATTAACTGTTTAATAATTGTAAACAAAGCCGCCAAAGATTGAGAGATGTACTGGTTCGTAATTGTTTTATTAATCCGGATTCTGATCGGGCTGAACCTGTCCTCCTACAACCTGTCCTCCTACAACCTGTCCTCCTACAGCCTGTCCTGCTACAACCTGTCCTCCTACAACCTGTCCTCCTTTAACCTGTCCTCCTACAACCTGTCCTCCTACAACCTGTCCTCCTACAACCTGTCCTCCTACAACCTGTCTTCCTACAACCTGTCCTCCTACAACCTGTCTTCCTACAACCTGTCCTCCTACAACCTGTCTTCCTACAACCTGTCCTCCTACAACCTGTCTTCCTACAACCTGTCTTTCTACAACCTGTCTTCCTACAACCTGTCCTCCTACAACCTGTCTTCCTACAACCTGTCCTCCTACAACCTGTCCTCCTACAACCTGTCCTCCTACAACCTGTCCTCCTACAACCTGTCCTCCTACAAAAAAGTCGCATTTTGATATACATAAGTCCAAAATTTGTCGTACTAAAAATGGAAGCGGCTGGCGAAAGTGGCGTACTGTTCCGTTTTCTGTTTTAGGTCCTCTGGTAGGTTAGGAGAGACCACTTTAAACTGACCGTTTCCTTGACGTTGGGAAACCTTCGGCGGACGGGAAGTGACGTCTGGAGGTCGCATTCAACCATTTATTGTGATACAAAGAAATGGTGAAAACGTTTTGATACGTATTTTAAAATACAACTTAAAAGGCAGAGATTATAGTTTTCTGGGGGATATGTCATAGAATTTTTCCCTAGGAACTTATTGACCGTTAGGGAAACAGAGGCATTTGTATCCCGCCAAAGGAGTCGAACACGGAACGATTCGACTGTAATTCGACTGCGTTAACCACTGCACCAGTGAGAGTAGTGGCTTATACTTGCTGGGTATTGAATACTGAATATACTGAAATATTCGAGAACACTGAAGACGATATATGGAGCCAGATTCTAGAAGCAGTTATGCAATCACTTACGAACCTGTACATCTTTTCTCAATCTATGGCGGCTTTGTTTACAATTATTAAACAGTTAAGGAGCTCCGAAGCACCAGGAGGCTGTTTATAACAATAACAACAGTTGATTGGCAAGTTTTCATGCTTGTAAACTGTTTAACAAATGCAACCAAAGCTGTCAAATAATTAGGAAAGATATACACGTTCGTAAGTACTTGCGTAACTGCGTCGTGAATCTCAAATCAAATCAAATCAAATGTTTATTTAGGTAAGGTACATACATACAAGAGATTTTACAAAGAGTGATGGATTTATAGATAGGGCTAGTACATACAATGCCTAAAGCCACTATTACGCAAAGCGTTTCGGGCATCTGGCCCATGGAAGCTATACATGGAAGCATGGAGGCTATACATAGGTAATGTGGCAGCCTCCACGAGGTGGTTAGGGCTTACGAAAGACAATGAGGCTTACCTTGAGTCTGGAGGTCTGATCTGAAGCACAGCTAAGACTCCGGGGGCAGCCAACTGGGAGTGGGTGAGGCCTCTAGTACCTCCACAGGATCACGGGTTCTAAATCAAAGGCAGCGGAGTTGTTCTATGGATGTCATGTGGGTGTCTACTGCCGGAGGCGTGCTGCCCTCTGGCTGTCGGCTCAGCCAATCACCTCCAGGTATGACTTGGAGGCGGGAAATGCTCCCGCCAATGGGTGATGCAAAAGCATTTCCCCCATTTTCACTCCCCATATTCATATTAACTTAGGAGGGTATCCTATAACGCTTAGAATATGGTAACGAATTTTCCAACGTTAATCGTGACATATTACTAGGTAGAAATGTATTTAACATTCAATATTAATGGGCATATGAGAGCGCATCACGGCACTTAGAGTGATGGTCTTATCCACTAAACCAACAAGCGTGTTGGGGCATAAGGCACTCAGAGCTGTGTTTACATTAGGTGGTCACCCTCGTATGGTGCAACCATCTAATTGGATATTTAGCACTTAAATCTAATTTCATGCACTTAAATATATATATTCTATACACTTAAATGTGAATAAAGTCACTTATATTTCACTGTAGGTGTATGTCTCGTGAATTTGTTCTTTACTTAAATTCAAGAGTTTTTAAAGCACGCGTATTTCTGATAAAACTACATAAAGTTGAATATATATTACACTTAAACGTATAGCACATGCACTTATGTCTAAAGTTTCTTTCAAAAATGTTTCACTCGAGGTAAATATTTGAAGAATACTGTAACAATGATGAAAGCACTTCAGGCATGGCACGAATTTGTACAGCTCTTTGACACGAGTCCAAGCACAACACTGGAGCTACTGAGAGCCTCCCACGGCGTCGCTGTAAACAATAACACAGAATCCGGATTCACGGAATGCGTTCATGAACGGTCTGTGGCAAGACGTCTCTCACTGCGGTAATCTCATTCACATACTATTTTGAAAACTAAAGAATCACGATGACCAGACCACACACTAAAAGGTGAAGGGACGACGACGTTTCGGTCCGTCCTGGACCATTCTCATGTCGATTCAAGGACGGATCGAAACGTCGTCGTCCCTTGACCTTCTAGTGTGTGGTCTGGTCAACTTACTTTAGCCACGTTATTGTGACTCATCACCTGCATAAAGAATCACGAGCTGACGTCTAATCAGCGTACGAACTGTCACTGAACTATCGTAGAAGCACCTCAACGAGGTGATTAGGGTTGCAAAAGACAATGAAACTCAACTTGGGTTTGGGTGCTTTGTCCAAAGCAATTCTAAGGCTGTGTGGGTAGACAAACAAGGGGGTGAGGTCCACCATAGCTGTATTACAACAGGTCATAAATCACGGTCAACAGAGATGTTACATCACCTTGATGTAGGCGCTGCCCGGGGGGCGGTACTGAAGTATCCGTCCTTACCAACACCTCCGAGAATAACCTCCAGGTCATACCTCCGGGTCATGACCTCCGGGAATGACCTGTTGGACGGAAATGCTTCCATTGGTAGATAAGGTAAATGTGGTTCCCTCCACATGTGTTCCCAGCGCTCTTGACCCCTGGCAACCCGGCCTCACACTAGGCTGTTTAAAGCAGCGGCCGTCCTCCCCAGACGCATTCATCAATTTTAACACACAGTATATTAAAAATGGGTTTATTCTCATATATAAATTAGTATTATTATACATTAAAAATTCTATGTATAGTTAGGCGTAGGTTAGGTTAGGTGTTTAGGTTCTGTTGGCGATTATTTGTATTTGAAGTACGTGGGTGAAGCATTTATAGCGTTGTGGTTCGAACAGAGGACGTGAACGAAGCCCTTGTTCCGGAAGTGTTCGGACGTCATCAGTTGTGAATCATCTGTAAACCGCTTTTCATTCACAAACAGAGGAGGGCTTGGCGGCTGGATTAACGAGCTTGGATCTTTGTATGTGAGGACCGGCTGCCGCGGGAATGATAAAACGAGTCAGGACACGAGTTTGTAATGAACCACCTTGAGTGGTTCCCTGGATCAGTGGATTCGAAGCCTGGCGATTGGTTTGAAAGGCACTATTGAACCTGAAGCGCCCCGATACTGGATTGGGTAGGAGGAGAGATGGGTAGAGATGTAAGGGGGAGCGGGGATTGGGGAAACCGGATTAGGATAGGGAGAAATGAGAAGGGAGGATAAGTGTCAAGTGTTGAGAATGATCTCAGTGTTATAGAATGTTGCCAACATTACTCCCGTGTGAGTTGACCACCTCCCAGTCTGATGACCTAGGGGGGGAGCACCACCCCCCCTGGCCCCCCCTCTCCCACACTCCCCCCCTCCCACAGTCCCACCCATCTACTTCCTCCCCCTCTACCCCTCCCCATCACCATTCTTCCTCATATTCACATATTCAACAAATAAGCTTCAGCAACAGTCAAGTGGATCAAAAGATTGCAAGCAATTGTTAGCGTTTGTTATGACTTTAATTGGCACAACCCTTGACTCCTGGAATGACCTTTGACCTCTTTGGAGCTTCGGTAAGGCGTGTTAAATTAGTGAGCTCGTTATCATCGTAAGGAGCTTGTTGCTATCAAAGTTTATGAATTTTACAGGTCACTCAATGTCACACATTAAACACATGTATATTAGCAGAATATGTGTTCTCTCTCTCTCTCTCTCTCTCTCTCTCTCTCTCTCTCTCTCTCTCTCTCTCTCTCTCTCTCTCTCTCTCTCTCTCTCTCTCTCTCTCTCTCCTTTATCCAGGCTTTAATTTTAAATTGTCATTTATTAACAGACCTGTCCTCTTTGTTATCATATCAGTACTTAAACTTAAGACTTCATATCTCCGTCATGTCTCTGTGAGACAAGTTCTGTGATGAACATCGTTGTAAAGATTTATACAATTCTAAGCATCATTAAAGGTTACTGGGAGTGTTGATTTCATATCAGGGCTGCATGCTCTAAGACTGGTCTCGCGTAGGTAGCATAAAATGATCTGAAAGGCTCTTTTATAAAGTTACTGAAGTTAGCCCTGACTTTTGCGTTTCCCTTGTACCGTTGATTCATTATAATTGTCAACCTTTGAGGCAAGACTATATTTCCATTCATAGTTTTTTATATACATTAATTTCCTATTATTTGTGTCTATACACTGTGTAAGGATCTGTTGATCTCTTGTTTCATCTAACCATTCTCATAACCTTGCACTTAGAGGTATTAAACTCCAGCAGCCAAATTTTCTGCATCAGCTCTGCAGTCAGTCTGTGACATCCTGGGGAATTCTGCAATCTTCTTGTGCCTCGATTAGTATCGTTTATTTTCCACAATTTGTAAATATTACGTATATCATATAGGAGTTCCCTCACACAAAGCAAGTGATCAGAACATTCTGATTGTGAATGTTTGAGGGTGCACGGGGCTGGCAACCTGGGGCCAGATTCATGAAGCAGCAGTTACGCAAGCATTTACGAACATGTACATCTTTCCTCAATCTTTGACGGCTCCGGATACATTTATTTAACAGTTTACAAGCATGAAAACTTGCCAATCAACTGTTGTTATTGTTATAAACAGCCTCCTGGTGCTTCTGAGCTCACTAACTGTTTAATAATTGTAAACAAAGCCGCCAAAAATTTAGAAAAGTTGTACAGGTTCGTAAGTGCTTGCGTAACTACTTCGTGAATCTGGGGCCCTGGACTAAGCGATACCCATTATTTTTTATTTCTAAAATTCTAGAAATCTAGACATCCTTTGTTTAGTAATTTTGTTGACACCAAATCCGTGCGGGGATTGAACTCGGGCACCTAAACTAATTTTCCCTTCTGTCAGAGCCTTTGGCCCGGCCTTTGGGAGGCAGTGGTTGAGCGGCAGCTGTCATGACTAAAGGGAAGAAGGGAAGGGAACTATCAGGGAGGAAAGCGCCAAGCCAATACGACTATATAGCACTGGGAAGGGGCCAGGATAAGGATTTGGGATGAGACGGAGGGAAGGAATGGTGACCCAACCACTTGGACCGTCGGGGATTGAGCCGATGAGCGTAAATAAACGTTCTTGAGGGAATTATGAGTAAACTCAAGATGAGTCAGATGGTATTCGTATTCGTGAGCCGCGTCGCTAGATTACGAAACGTCGAGTGTGGTTTGTGTGTCTACTCGTGTAGTTGTGTTTGCGGGGGTTGAGCTCTGGCTCTTTGGTCCCGCCTCTCAACTGTCAATCAACTGGTGTACAGGTTCCTGAGCCTACTGGGCTCTATCATATCTACATTTGAAACTGCGTATGAAGTCAGCCTTCATCACATCACTGCCTAATGCATTCCATCTCTTAACTAGTCTGAGATTGAAAAGGTTCTTTCTAACGTCCCTGTGGCTCATGTGGGTACTCAGTCTCCAGCCGCATGTGTGTGTGTGTGTGTGTGTGTGTGTGTGTGTGTGTGTGTGTGTGTGTGTGTGGTGTTATTGGGGGGGGGGGAGGAAGGGAAGAGAACTATCAGGGGTAAAGCGCCAAGCCATTACCACTATATAGCACTTGAAAGGGGTCAGGATAAGGATTTGGGATGGAACGGAAGGAAAAGAAATGGTGCCGAACCACTTGTGGACGGTCGGGGATTGAACGCCGACCTGCATGAAGCGAGACCGTCGCTCTACCGTCCACCCCAAGTGGCTGGGCCCAGGGGGGGGGAAGGAAGGGGATAAAATTAGGATGAGTACAACTATCCCATAAACCGTTATGGGATAGTAACAGGATATGGAGATCCCGCCTGGTTCGCGTCTGCCCGTGTTTTTCTGAGGCGAGAAGGTACCCCCCTGCCTGCACCCAGTCCCAAGGGGGACCCAGCCACTTGAGCTAGTCGGTATACCGACGACCTCGCTTCTTGCAGGGTCGGGGTTTAATCCCCCGATGAGCCTAATGATTAGGCATCTTTCTTTCACTGACTTCATATCTCATTTGTTGATCCTTATATCCCAGCTCCTTGTCTTCCTTGCGTGTGTGTGTGTGTGTGTGTGTGTGTGTGTGTGTGTGTGTGTGTGTGTGTGTGTGTGTGTGTGTGTGTGTGTACTCACCTATTTGTACTGACCTATTTGTGCTTGCGGGGGTTGAGCTTTGGCTCTTTGGTCCCGCCTCTCAACCGTCAATCAACAGGTGTTCAGGGTCCTGAGCCTACTGGGCTCTATCATATCTACACTTGAAACTGTGTATGGAGTCAGCCTCCACCACATCACTGCCTGTGTGTGTACGTGTATGTGTGTTGTGTGTGTGTGTGTGTGTGTGTGTGTGTGTGTGTGTGTGTGTGTGTGTGTGTGTGTGTGTGTGTGTGTGTGTGTGTGCATGTGTGTGTGTGTGTACACAAAGAAATTTAATCAGCTGTTAGCCTAATGACTCTCTAACACATTATTCCCTTATCCAGAGATTACAACGACCACAAAAGCGTCAAAGAACAGTCGGGGTCAACCACCTCTCTCAACTCCCTAACCAGCTATGACCCCAATACCAAGTAAGTTAATGTACTCTTAAGATGTTTGTAACTACTTAGTAGACATCTTGATGGTCGTAAGTCTTGCACGAGATAACCTGATGATCATTACATGGGACTACTGCGTGTTCTGTCACCAGTAGAAATGAGTCGTACACTTACGAAACATTTACATCTTTCCTCAACTATGGCAGATTTGACTTCATTTAATTGGCAGTTTACAAGTTCCGAAGCGCTACGAGGTTGTATATAACAATAATTGGGTTGTGAAGTCTCGTAGCTAGTAAACTGTTTAGTAAATACGTGCTTAGCCGCTATAATCCAACAAAGATGTAAAGGTTTCGTAAGTGTACAGGTGAATGCTAGACGAATCCTGACTCAGTCAAGATAAAACCTTCCTACTGTAAACTGGATAAATACCTGTGCCCCATTTTCCAGAAACATTACCTATATTTTGTATATCATTAGAATTAGATGTTAATCTTTGTGTTATTTTCAAGTCATTGAATTATGTTAGCATGAATCGTCAGTTGTCTTATCACACAAACCAAGAAATTAACTTATGTATTTAGATAAATGTTTTTCAGTAGACTTGTTGAATTCATAATTGTCATTCCACTTTTGGTAGTGGTGCACAATACTGGCTCACTGTTTATTGTATAATATGCCTCTAGTTTTCTCCCGGTGTCAGGAGTCCTCTGTAACAGAGCTATGACTGTGTACCAGGTGGTACTGTGCCTCTAGGTGAGCTCTATGCCTCAGACCCTTGCTACTGGTCCCTCTGCTGCATGCTAAGCTTCCTCACCGCCACTACACGCTATCTGCTATACTAAAAATTATATCCACATGCAGTACAACTATATTTTCTGAATTCTCAGATGTGTTTCCATGTGTATAAGAGGAGAAGGATTTGTGTTTTAATATTAAAATAATCTGAATGTTTGGAAATCTTGTTAAATAGCAAACTAAGGCTTATGCTACCCCCCTTGGGGGCACTGTGATGCATGAATGTTTACTTAACGTAATGACTAACTCATCGGTGTGTGTTTGTGTGTTACAGCCAGTAGAAAACATCGACGTGGCCGTCTCAGTGTTATACGAAACATGTGTATCCTTCCTGTATCTCTCAAGCTGTAAACTATGCTCTGCTAAGCTGGCTTGTACTTTCACAGAAAATCAA